TAGATCTCTAAAAATCCCTGAATTTTGTAGAAGAAAATAAAAGATTCCCACAGAAATGTTAAGCTATTCCATAATATATCATAAAAATCCTTTAATTAAGATATCCCAATTGTAAGAGATTCATTTGCCATTAAAGTTATTTCCTGTTCTCCCTGTCATCACCCCACAGATCGCACCACCAGAAAACATTAATTTATTATAAATATATCATATGAAAACCTAGTTTAAATCTCTGATTAATGTAAAAACTCAGACAAAAGGTTTTCCCCACAGGCAGCAGCGACAAGAACAACAGGCAATAAAGTGAAATATATTTAACGGCGTTTAAAAGAGCGTGAAAAGTCAACAAGGACACAAACACACAGCCACTGGCAGGAGGAAGCACACAAAACACTCTCTCACATATGATAACGTCGTAACCCCTGGATAACCCCCGGTTAACCCCTACAGGCGGTGTGGTGTGGTGTGTGTCTCTGATTTAAATAAAACTAATGTTTGTGTGGAAAATGGATTTTATGTGTGTTGTCATCGTCTCTGTCTCACTCTCTGTGTGTGCCTGTTGACTTTCCACAGTTTTTCGGCGTTAGGATTTCTTCCTTATTCAAATTCCGAAAACGGATACGGATTCATTCGGTGGCAAACAGATTTAAAATTTCGCATACGCTTAGCACGTGAATGGGAATATCCTTGAGAGGACGACGACGACGACGACACACCGCTTTCCGTCGAGTCATGCATCATATCTACAGCTGCGGAAACCCCTGGTATCATTGCCAGGGGTTCCAAACTCATCCTCAAGGATTCGGTTTGAGTTTGGGTTACGTTTTCTAGAGAGGTGAGAGGTTTGGGTTTGGGTTTGTGTGTGCTTGGGGGTTGGGGTGTGGCGCGCGTGGTTGACACGTGATTCCGTTGGTCGTAAATTTTCCCAAGAATTTTCAAACATTTTTTAGTGCTTCTTGTAGTTTTTAATTTGTGGCTTGTTGAGCACTGTGTTAACGGTTATTATTTATGGGATTTCGCTGGATGATAAAGCCAAAATTATGGATAGACCAAGTCTCAAAAGCGGATATTACCTGAGTGATAACGTTTTGTGGCAGTGTATTGGAAGAAGGTTTTTGCTCTTGCAACCAACCCCGAAAAGAGTGCCACCAAAGGGCGGAACAGACCAAAAAGCTGTCACTTGGGGATGCTGCTGCAGATGTATCTATCTCTGTGTGTGAGTGAGTGCTGAGTATATGCATGTATGTGTGTGTGTGTGTAAGTGAGTGTCAAGGCATCATCCATCATTTTGGACTTGACCTTTTTTTGGTTGAGGCTAAGCTTCCGTTTAACAGGAGTCTAGCAAGAGAATCTTTAATTTTTGATACGAGTATATGCTAGGAATAGACGCACATGCTACAGATACAAGATACAAAGATAGTCGAAGCAGGAGACGGACAAGCGGGATGGCAGTCAAATGTCAGACATGTCACATAAGCGACTCTCGCTCTCTCTCTCTGTCTCTGTCACTTTGTGTGAAATCTGCAATGCAATGTCTCATTGTAAATGCTGCCGATGATTAAGCCAGAGCATATAGTATCCCTCCCTCTCTTTATGTATCTGTATCTGTCTCCCTTTGGTTTGGTTTTCACTTTTGTGTCGTGTTAAAAATGAATTTGTCATCTGTAAACGGTCTGACATGTTTGCCAAAAAACAGAAAAAAAAACGAAAACGAAATCTTTCACTCTGAGCCCATACATCAATTGTTGTTTCTCTGGTGGGTTGACTTCTCTCTCTCTCTGAAGTCCAGAAGTCTTTGATTGATTTGCATTGAAAATCGTGATTTTAATTGACATGCGATGAGCGAAAGCAATCCAAGAGAGCAATAATTATGTCAATCTTGCATCAGATGCTTGATCGATTGATCGATTGGGCAGGACTTAAGGCTTTAAGTCAAATTTGTGGACTGCTTTAATATAGATTTAAGCTCTAAAGAGGTCATAAGAGACTATAAACTGTATTATTTATTATTTCTTTGACTTTCATTTAATATTTCCCTTAATATATGTGTGGTCAAAAACGTATCATAACTTCCTTAAATAATATATTTGGCTATCCAAAACAATAAAATTGCAAGCCACATTTCCCACAGACAGGTGCCACAAGCATTCAATGATTCGCTTTGAATAATAAACTGTAATAATTGAATGTCTGTAACATAAATGTAAATGCACACACAAATTACAACTCTTTTTGTAGTTATTAATTAAAATTCGTACACAACCATCCTGGACAAATGGAACGTGATAGATGTAATATGCCATAAAAATGGCAATAAGTGGGACAATCATGAACCAATAAAGAGGAAGGGATTGAGGCTCATGGTTCCCTGAGCTTTATAATGGGGGCTCCCCCAAATCGTTTAGCTTTAATTTGATGAGTGGGTTTTGGGTGGTAAAAGGGGGAGGAAGAGTGGAAAAGTGGAGCCATCGTTCAGATCATTGGCCAAATGATTTTTCGAACAATTTGTTGCTTCGCTGGGGATAGAGTCTGGCTGGGTCTGGGGCTGGGGAGGCCTAAAGAGCGTGAAATTGATATGCAATTAAAATAATATTTTTCCAGTCGAGTGATATCTAGAATAATTATTGGTTATATCTCGTATATATCACGTATGGTTATTTTTATGGCCCAACAGATGTCAACAACGCACAAAATATCGGCACCAACAATGCGCTTGAAATAATAATTTTGTGTACCATTAAAGCTACGGTTCAAGGATTTCCACTTCTTATTTTTAATTCTGCCCCAAAAAGAGACGCTAAATGGACAGAGAGAGAGAGAGAGAGAGAGAGAGTTGGGAGAGAGGGAGAGTGGTTTTTTGGTGGAGAGGCAGGACTGAGTGACTGCTGCGGTTAATGGCTTTTGAATGCAAATTCAATTTTATCGCACTCTGTTCACTTTTTAATAAGATTTTCCTTCACTTTCCAGCCCATACTCCTCTCTATCCCCTCTATATTGTCTGCTGGCGAAAGGTGCACTCTGCTGGAAATGAAAATTAGTTGCAAGAATCCCAAAAAAACAAAGAAATACCATAGAGAGAAAGAAGAAAGAACTGAAAGAAACGCTGAGCCAAAAAGACACGCGACTTGCGACCTGCGAGAAATGCTTTTTGGCGCCACAAGCCACCAAAACCTGACTGCCTGCTGCCTTGTGTCCCTGCCCTTGTCCCTCCCTTTTAGTCGTAGCGGTGGTAGTGGTGGTGGTTGTACCTTTTCCTCGATGGGGCACAGCCCACAATCCAACAAATTGCGTTTCGTGTGCAAGAGTGGGTGGGAAAACTGTCAGAATGAATGAGTAGCATGGTCACACCTACTCGACTGTCAGTCATGGGCATGGGCCTCCAGCAAACGAATGGCAATGGCAAAACGGTAACACTCTCCAAAACAAAAACAAAACTGTCCAAGGCGTTGCCTTGAATTTGAAGTTTAAGCTGCAGAAATATTCATCTATAGATGGATAGATATATTTCCAAACATTCTTTTCAATTAGGTAAATGGTCTTTGAGTATGATTAGAAAGTGTTTCGATGTGGAACTGTAACTAGGGAAAGTCTGGGAGTAATGAAGTTGGCGCTCAATGGAGTGGCAAATAAATGGTAATGGCGATTTTTCAATTATAACAGAAGGGAGATAAGATAATGGAACTATGTAAGAATTATGAAGCTAAGATGTACTCTAACTATACTCAAAAATGTGCAGTACCTTTCATAGAATTCAGTACAGAGCCTAAAGAGAATCATTGAAGTGTCTTATCAATTAAATAAATATTAAATGTACTCGTATGTGCTTTTTGATCCGCTTTCTAATTCAATCCCTTACATTTGTTTCTTTCACTAGCTAAAATATTTAGTTCTTCATGAGCTTATTGATTTCCCATTCAACATTTTTCCTTTTTAATAACAGCTTAACCAAACTTTAAAAGACTTTATGAAACCTTTTGAGAGGTTAGTTTATTACTGTTATAAATTGGCACCCAAAAAACCATTAAATGCTCATTGAAGTGTGTAAATATTTTAAGACTCCCGCGACATAGTTTCCAGTCACCTGTAAAGGCAGCAGTAGACTCAAATGCATCCAAGTATCTGCATTCTTTGTGTATCTTTTTTTGGGCTGCAGCATTTGCTCTTCATAAAGAATCCCCCTATACACATGTGTGTTGTAGAAAACTTCTTTCTTTGAAGTTTAGCTTGGCTCAAAAGTGGAAAATAATTAACCTCAAAGTTTTTGGTAAGCGGAAGTTTCCACAGTCGACACATGCAGCACGTAACGAGTGGTCAAGTGGACTACCCCCAAAGAATTTCCTCTGGGTCCGCCAGTACTTAATTGAGAAGTTTCGATAGCAAAAACACAGGGGAGGAAGTTCCCCAGTCCAAGGATGTCTAAAGGAAGCGCAGAGAAGTTTGAACACTCCGCAGTCTATTATTGGAAGGAAGCTAAGGGGTTGGATGATGATGATGGGTGGAAGGCAAATAAAATCATGCTGTCGGAAATAATAGCGTCTGGCCTGGAACTTAATTCCGAGTGGGGAGTTTGGGGTTCCTCCAACTGGAGCCCAAGTTTATGCAGTTTCATAAGCAATATTTGATATTTTTCGTGTGGCAGCAGCAGCAGCAGCATCAGAGGCAGGGGCACCATCTGCATGATTAGCAAATATTTTTGTTTCGATAATCAGAAAACATTCCCATTTCTATCTGGAAGCTTATGAATATGACTGGCATTTTGTCTGTCGATTTTGTCTGGCAGTTATCTTTGTTATCCCAACAGTTAAAGATGGAATAAGCTTTTGGGGGAGAGAAAGTCGAATATTTATTAGAATTTAATCATTTTTGGTGGGAAATTGTTTACGGTTTTTATAGAAATTCTTTTTGCTATCAAAACAAAAAATCTCTTTGCATGCCTAACCCTCACATATAATTTCGTATAATTTTCTAATTGAAACTCTTTTTCTGCTTCTCCATTTCAGGTGATAACTCCATAAGTAAGTACTGCCCCTAAAAGTACACAAAAATGACTCATCCATTGCGCAGCATACAATATATATTTTAAACCACAAAACAAAAACATATTCCAATTGGCTTGAAAGTACGAGTGTGTCCAAAAGAAATACCAAAATACATTTTGCATTCGCTGTATCGTATACAGACAGATAATTCACTTCACGGTAGCAGATCAGATCCCCATAAAACCGCAAAAGCCCTGATTAAATGTTATTAAAAACCTTTTTGCCAGCCTATAGATATAACTCAGCCAAAAAAAACCGCAAAACGAATTTCATAAAATTTCAATAATTATTGTATAATAACTTCGCTTGAAAAAGAAACTATATCATTTCTGTAGAAATACGAGTATATAAGGGGCTTGTTTTCTGACGACCATTTTGTGTATCGAAATCATCTAGAGTTGACCCAAACTGAGGAAAAAGTGAACCCAAACAGAGAAGAAAACAACAAAAAAGTGAACCAATCAAGCGGATGACCATTTTGGAGACGGTTTCAGCGGAAACGTCGCTTTTTCATGTTCGTGACCAAAGTTTAAGTCTGGGCAGGCAACACAGAGACAAACAGAGAATCGGAGAAGAGAGAGAGACAGAAAAAACATACAAATTTTTACCTGAATTAAATTGAGTAACGAAAACACGAAAAGTTTTTTAATGCCTTGCAGCAGTCATTGAAGATTGAGGAGAGGTACATAAATACAAACATACATATGTATGTACTAAAGCTATAGAAGAAATATATAAGTATGTACATATATAAATATATGTAGACCATTCTTATTTCATGTTTGTTGTTGTTTTTTTATCAGTGGAAATAGCAGGGGAGTTGTAGTGGTAGATGGAGCAAGGTAGTGCTGTACATAGAGGGAACCAAACACGCTACCATTTTTTTTGGGTTTAGTTCTACAGACAAAAAAAAAAACAAGAAAATTATTATGATTTCTGGGCAGTTAAAAAGGTTTTGTGTAATATTATAATTTAACATGCACTTTCTTTATGGGCAGTATATGATATAGAAATAAATCAATAGAAATATGTTTGTATTAGAAAATGTCTGAACTTTAGTTTTCAACTTGAAAATGTAATTGAAAAAGTCTTAAACAATGATTTGACTAGGGTCGATAGGCATTTGTGATAGTACTATATTTAAGGCCATTAAATACTCTTCAATCGAACTTATTTACTTGTTGCTGTAAAATATGCTTCCACACATATCACGGTAGATTTATCCGTATGAATAGCCAGTGTTTCCTCAGCTAAGGCTATTATTTTATCTGGCTTACCTTTTTTTGTTCAGTGTACCTGTACACACGCTCTCTCCCCTGACCAGCACTCAGCACTCTCTCCCACCGCTCTCTATCCGCTTTTGTGGTATTGGTAGAGGCGGTTGTTGCGGAGGAAATAATTACATGATTGAGGTACTCCACACACACACACACACAAACACTGGGACATGGAAAGGGCAAGCAACACTTGCATGAATACCCACAATGACAAACACTGGGCCAGCTATCGCCCTCCCTTCCCCATCCATCCATCCCCTGTCTCTCTTTCTCTCTCTAGAAGTTCTCTCGTGTTTTTTTTTCGTGGCCTTTCAGTGGTGGTCGTTGTCTGATCGAAAAGAACATGTCAGAGGTTCCTGACCATTGCATGACTTGGCCTCTGTGTCCCCCCCCCCCCTGTCTGTGTCCCGTGTGTCTGCACGTGTGAGTGTGTATCTGTGTGTTAAAGCACCGGCATATGCACGAGCATGAATGAATGAATGGCTCTGGCATGGCATGGCGGCTTTTTTTATATAGCCGGTTCTTGTTCGTGTGCTTTTTTTTCCATCTTTCCTTCGTAGTTTTTCTTTCGCTTTTTTATAATTCACGGCAAAAGACCGCAACAAAGACCGGGGCCCCAGAGCAATTATTGTATCGGTTGCCCCACACACACAACAGTTCCCTGCAAACCACCACCACTGTAGACCGAGCCGAGCCGACCCGACCTCCCCCTCCCATCGCTGAGCCACAAAACGGTAACCACTCGCTTGGCCAAGAGCGTGTCTCTCCCACTCCTGTGTGTCCTGTGTCCCTGTGTGTTTGTGTAAGCACTCTGGTGTTGAGGTCAGGGCATTGTCGTGTGGTTATTGGCTGGCTGACGGTCGGTTACCTCACAGGATTAGAATCCTGTGCAAACACAACGAACCAACACGAACACACAAGCGCCATGGGATATTTGTATAAGGCTTATACAATACATGTACATAGAGCGCCGACAAAGTACATGGAAAATGGAACACTTCTTCGACCGTTTCAAATTTAGATTTGACATCAAAATGCACTAGAATTTAGAGGCATATTTTTCCATATTTTCTGACAAATTCTACGAGCTATAGCGAAACTATGAATTATTCCCCACATTTAATATTGCTAGAAATCAGATAATTAGACCTCTTTTAAGGCGGATCTAGTTTAAATCAAAAAGCCCTAACGAAACTGCCAAATTAGTAGTAAAAACTCCCAAAAATTGGAACTAAAAATACGAGTATTAGAGCTATCGATACTCGTACAAATATCCTGAAATTTCCAATATCCAACAAACTTTTTCTTAACTGTCTTACTGTTCAAAGATGTCTCAATTGCTCCTTATTCTTCTTCCCTCTTTTCTGTCATTTTAATAGTTTTTTTTTGTATGGTTAAACTTTTCCCCACATTAAATTTAATGTTTGGTATCCTTTTTGTCCCACAATATAATTTGAGACTTCCTCAATTGTTCTTTTACTTTTTTCCAACAACAAACTCTAGATCATCTATGACGACTACGCGCCAGCTTGTCCGTCATGAGGATTTACCATTAATTTTGCCCTGACCTCTAAAGTTCCGCCTCCAGAAACAAAACGAAAAAAAAACACTCCCCCATGCAGAAGAGACCTTCAGATAGAGTCTCTGCCTCTGGAACTGTGGGCTCCGTGGGTTCCCCCTCGATTGCAGTGGCAGGATTAATTTCTAATTTCGCCTAATGTTCGTAGAGTGTTGGGCCGAGTGTTCGATGTTTACATTTTGGGTGCTCGTGTTTTTGGTCTCGTCTTCTAATTTACCTTGATAAAATTGTACCGATTCCCATTCCCATGACCAGACCTCGGACCTCGGACCCAGAGACCAGACCCCAGACCCATCCCATCCCAAGCACTGCCCTGCCCTGCCCTATCCCCGGGCTGTTTTTGTCTCTGCCCTCGTAAACGCATTCATCGTTGTCTCTGAGCCCGAGTCTCCGAGTGAGTCCGGGGCTATGTCTACTACGGCTCTGACTCTGACTCTGAGACGGAGACGGACGACCAGAGCCCACATGTTTGCATCATTAATCATGACGTTTCAGCTCTGACACATTTGGCCGATCGGCGGCAAAGGCAGCAGCGGCAGCAGCAGCAGCAACGGCAACGGCAGCAGCGCTCGAACAAACGGAGGATTGTAATGAACACGTTTTGTAAGGCAGATAGAGAGGTATTACTGTAAGCCAGAAAAAGACAGAAACTAAGAGACAGAAAAAGACAAAAACTAAGAGACGGAAAGAGATAAAAACTAAGAGACAGACTGCCAGACGAAATACCTTTAAAAAAAGCCAAGTAGAGGATGAGACAGACGCACGTCAACGATGGCTCGCGGACAGCAGCAGCAGCAGCAGCAGCAGCAGCGGATGCGTACGCACAGCGAGAGGGCCCAATGCCCATGCCCAGAGACAATGGGCCACAATTTGAAGACAAATATTTTCACAATGGTAGCAAAAGACAAAAAGAAAGAACAGAGCAAACAGCAAACAGTAGACGAAGGCAAACTCATGTAAATATTGGCCAAAAACTATTTACGAAACTATTAGCTGCAGTTATGGACAAGAGACTAATTGTGGCCAAAGACTCCTACGGTGAGGGCCAGGGGAGGGCGCGGTATAATCGTTATGAAAGGGAGAGTTTGTGAGGCAGGGATTACGAGAAGATAATAGAGAACATTAGCAAAAGGGGCAGGGCACCATCAGAAGGGATTGCATAAACTTATATGCATGTCTAACTTGAGGACACGGAAGATACGAGACTCATTTACATTGGTTACATTGGAGATAGTAGTACCATAGAACGTTGAGTTTTCGAAGGATTGTTTGGAAATCAAGGACTATTCAATACAGTAAGAGTTTTGTGATTATTTCTATTTTTATTCACACACTTCATGGGGTATTAGGATCCTTAGGATTACCTCTAAACTGAGGAGACTCTACCTCTTATTAGGGATAAATCAGTACATATTTAATTAATATAACTATCGTGATGATAACGGAGCGGTATGCAGTGAAAGATCTCTTTGGAGGACACTAAAAATTCCAAGCTGGAGATTTCCATCTAAGAATTTGTGCATCCTTCCCATGAAAACAGTATCACCCAAGCAGCTGCCCGTCGCCATATCCTTCGCCTTTTTTTAAATGTGAATTTAAAAGTCAGGAACCATTAAATTTACTCTCCTCTTTAAGGTACCCTTTTCACTTACCTTATTTGAGGCTTTTCTTAAGGTAGAAATATTTAAATTTCGCTCTTCTTAAAGCGATTTTCGAGAGCGACCGCTTTCCGACAAGTTTGGCTGACTGAAAGGCCATTTGTCCTTGGTATCAGGATAGCTGCTACTAAACCAAATCTAGGTTGACTTATATACTTCCGTTTCCGGCAGCGAACATACGCTACAACTCGGCTCTCAAGCGCCTGTTCGCAGTCCTTAGAGCACCTCCTTCCACCCATATCCCATAGCTTATGTTCTTGGGGATTTTTTATGGCCGACTGTCGGTGGAGGGTTGTGGGATGGAGGGGGATGGTGGATCTGGAAGGAGAGTACTTGGCGCAGAAACAGAATTTTATGCAAATATCCTAATCAAATTCACATTTTGAAGTTCAACTGTTTTATCCAAAAGTTTTACCTACCCGAAAGCCAGAAGCCAGAAGCCTGCAGCCTGGAAGCTGAAGC